CCAAGGAAACCCCAGTGAAAGCTCTCTGACTTTGGACTCACCCAGGTACAAACAGGAAGACCAGTGCTTGGGCCATCTGTTTGCTTTGGACAAAACTCATATCCTGTGACCCTAATGGAACTCATCCTTCAAATTACTCAGAAGAAAGTCTCTCTGGGTGAATCTTTGTTATTGTAGCAAGGTGCAAAATGTACATACAAAAGGGCAATTTTTAATTCAGGCACATATTTGGAGATCTGTCTTAAAATTCTTTACAGTTACAACTGGCTGAACCCTCTTTGTTTCATGTGGGAGTAAAAATCTCTGGAGATGGGCCAGAAATGTCTGGGATGTACTTGTAGAGGAGCTACAGGGACTCTCTGGGTCTAGTGTGAACATGGACTTGCACTGCTATGTTTTCTAACAGGCTGATGCCCTGGGGAGCAGGTCTTGCTTAATCAGTTATCAAACTAAAGGGATTGAGAAATGGGGCTGTGCTTGGAGTTTTCAAGTCTCTGATGATGCTTGACATTCATGTGATTATTCTATTTTCTGACATCTTCTGGATTTTGCAAAATTAAGTCATCTGATTATTCTATTTGCTGACATCTTCTGGATTTTGCAAAGTTAAGTCAAAGTTAAGAAGGTGATTTATCGAGAGGTCTTTAATGAATTGCAATTCATCACTGCAGTGGCCTTGGATTTTAAATAAAAGATACATGTGTCCCCAAAATTAAGCATTAAAAGGAGAATTTAAGCAAGAATATTTAAACTTGTACATGTCTGTATTGTCCTATTGTTTGCCAGTGTCTTCTGATTGCTAGTGGAGTCGATCTGATGTGCCCCATGTCCTGGGCCTGTGATTTTTTTTTAATGCTCTTCTGGATGAAGATTTTGATTTTTTTTTTTTTCCTTTTCACTTAGTTTATACTAAGTGAATCAGAAATACTAAGTGAATCAGTCTCCAAGTGATGTAGATAAGAGGATTGTCAGACCCTTTATGTTTTGGAGTCAGCTTCAGGGTATTGGGGCTAGAAATCAAAAAGAAGAATGCAAAAAGATTCTAAATTTGGGGCAAAATTTTAGTTTGAATGGATGGTTTGATATGAGAGGAGCCATCCCAGTAAGGGAGAAAATAGGAAAATTGGGTTAATAAATTCTTGTATTTGAAAAACAGGAAAGAAACGAGGAAGGGGACATGTCAGTTAGCTTCACAGCAACCATCATTTTTATCTGTAACGATATCTGTATATTTTTATCAAAATATCTTGCTGTACACTTAAATGCAACTTTTATTAAAAATAAAAAGAATGCACGTGGAGTAGAAGAGTGTAATCAGAATCAGCATCTCTTCATGATCTTTTTGAAAAAAATAATTGCTCTTTTGGATGCACTTTTTTCCTGGTGTCACTTTGCTCTTGGCTGGTTTGTCTAAAGTGACGATTCATTCTGCTCTCTCAGTGACCACGCTTTTAGAATAGAATATAGGGTGCCTGGGTGCTCAGTTGGTTAAGCAACTGCCTATGGCTCAGGTTATGATCCTGGAGTCCTGGGATCAAGTCCCCGTTCAGGTTCCCTGCTCAGTGGGGAGTCTGCTTCTCCTGCTAACCTCTCTTCTGTCATGCTCTCTCTCTCTCTCTCATTCTCTCTCTCTCAAATAAATAAATAAAATCTTTTAAAAAAAGAATATAATATAATGCTCATTTCTGCTAAGAGAACCAGGAATCATTGGGAGGCAGTGTGTTTCCAGCAAAAGACTTCAAGACATGGCTCAAGTAGCTTATTAACACAAAGCAAGGGTACTGTCAGAGGGACGGGGCTGGGGAAAAAATAGTAAAAGGCTAAAGGTCAGCCTGAAGACAGGTTTCTCATGACCAAGTCCCATCAAAAAGGACATAGCAGCTGTAGCCACTGCAATTTATTAAAACCAATTACTCTGGGAGATTATAAATGTCTAAAGGGGCTCCAAAGGAAGGAACGTGTAATAAAAGTGTCCCATGTGAAAGGTATGACCACCAAGGTGAGCTAGTTGATTGACTGGTGCTCTCTACGTCACAGAGATCAACCAGGAGGAAAAGAATTTATTTTGTCAAGAAGTACAGGGCATTCATTTTTCTGATGCAATGTCTTCCTCCTGGGAGGTGGTTTGAGTCATGCTTGCAGCGTAGTGACAGGTGCTGCCATGCAGGCTGCTAAGCCCAGATTGCTCATTGTTGGGGACCAGGCACCCCTTCCCCCAGTGCCAGGAGTGTTGGAGGCAGACAGCTTGATGAAGGGAAGCTGCCTGGCCCGGGATCACATCCCTCTACGGTGGTAGCCCCCATCTATCATCACTGGAGACTCCACACCCTGCCATCCCTGAGGAAGGCTTCTGGAAGGCCCTTCCATCTCCAGAGCTCCCTGTGGGATCCACTGGGGCCTTGGCTCAGACTGCATCACAATTCACCTGTCTCATCTTGCTCCCTTTGCTCCCTTGCAGGTGTACGGGTGTTGCTTCCAGGAATGTACCCCAGAAACCTTTCTGCCCTCACGCCTCCATCTCAGAGTCTGCTTCCCTGGGAGCCAGTTTGCCTATATATAACTATGTTCTGCTTGAAATGTAAGAAATGCTTTGGAAAGACCAAAGTGACTAGCCCTGTTGGGTTGCTCGAGCAAGAACATTGGCACAGGGTAGAAATAGATGGCAGAGCTGAAGCCGAAGCTTGCTAAGGGATGCCACACCTGAGAAATTTACATTTGACTCACCCTCTGTCCCAATAAATATTCTAAAATGTGGTTATCTATTGGGCACCGGTTACCTACACCTGGGGAGCAGGCAGATTGGTGATAAGAGAGCTTCAAGCTGGTGTCAGGGAGGGGCTGTGGGGATCCTTGTGAGAATGGCCAGGAAGAACTTGCTTTTCTTATCCCAGTCTCCCATTTCATTACCAGCTCCTACTAGATTCAACTGTTTCTACATCCTTTGCCACTTACAGACCTGTACATCCTCAAAACTGTATCTGTGCACATAATTTTGTTAATATGAAACTTTGCCATTTTGATGGGTGTACCACCACCATTCTCGTGTCTGACCAAAGTAAAAAGTTGGGATTACCTTGGTTTCTTCCCTTTATCATATTTTCTATATCTACCTCCTAAATATCTCTACAATTCCCTTTTCTTCATTCCATCAACCTCTTTCCCAGTTTAAGGAGAAATATCTTTTTCCTAAACTATTTTAATTCTTTTTAAATTGTCACTTTGCTCCTAGTCTTGAATTGGAATTCCATCTCCTACATCTATTAAATTCTCTAAACTTCTTCATTCTCAACTCTCCTTTTCTCTTTTTTCTCTATAGACCTTCCTTGGGAGATCTCATCTACTTCTGTGGCTTTGATTAATGTTGATATGCTTAAGATAGGCTAAAGATGCCACAATATCCATCAGGGATGTTTCACCAGGGATCCAGACCTTTCTACCTAACTGCCAGTTCTCAACCTGTCAAAAAAAGAATTGACCATTTTCTCCTCCAATTGACTCTTCCTTCTCTATTTCCCATTTTAATGAATGCCACAACCTTCTTCCTGCTCAGCTACCCAAGGTATAGACCTGGGTGTGGGCTTTCATTTGTCCATCTCCCTAATTCCCCAAGTCAAGCCAACCATCCTTAACTCCATCTTCTTTAACATCTCTTGGCCTTATCTCTTACCACCACCCCTACTATAACTACCCTGGTCTTACCCCAAGGTCTCACCTAGCTTTTTTAATTTTTAAGCTAGATTTCTGCATCAGTCTCTTAACTGGTCTTTTAGTCTGTGCTGTCCTGCAATCCCTTCTTCATAGGTTAGTGAACACAGTCTTTCTAATCTGTAAATCCACATTCCTCTGCCTGAATTCCTTCAATGCCTACCCATTGTTCTTATAATAAATACCTTTGGCTTATAAAAACCCATTATAATCTGGTCCCTACTTGCCTCTCAAACAATCTTTCTCCCCACATACTCCCACTGTCACTCACAATAGTCCAGTCATTGGAATTCCTTAGTTTCTTGAATGTACAATGCTTTCTCTTACCTCTTTCACACCATGTTTTCTTTCCCTATTTTCTTTGCTTAGATGTGTTCGAGACTCCCTCATGTGGAATGATCTTTGCCCATAATCATCATAGTATTTCAAAGAAATTTTTAGAAAGAAGGAATTCAGGGCATCATAAGTCATATGAACCAATTTAGAGAACATGTTAGGAAAATGCAGGCTCTCTGCAGTTCCCTGAATATTTGCCAGGTTGTCCTAGTAGCTCTATGTGAAAAGAGGATGATGTAATCTTGTATGCATTAACTCTCAAAAGTATCTATATTAGTGGTTCTAAATTGGGGTTTTTTGTCAAATGATACCATTTGACAATGTTGGGAGAAATGTTTGATTATCACAAGTGTGTGGTAGAATGCTAACTCACTGATATGAATAGAGGCCAGTGATGTAGTTAAAAACTTTACAGTGCATAGGGCAGCCTTCCATGTCAAAGAATTATCCAATTCAAAATGTCAATTCAAAATTCTCAACCAGAGTTGAGAAATCATGAACTATACAAAATTAAAATTTCATGTTTCACTCAGGCACACTTTTCTATTCTAGGATAGAACATAAACAATACTCATCTTGCAACAAGAAGACCAGAGTCCAGTCCTATCCAAAAGCTCTTGTTCTTATATTTTGGTTTTTCATCTTTAAAATGGCATTTTAATACCTGTCACATGGTATTGTTATAAAAATTAAATATGATGATGTATGAGAAAACCCTTAGTTCATTGTCTAGAGAACAGTAATTTCTTAATAAAATATTTGTTAAAAAAAAAACAAAACAAAAAGCAAGTCCGACACATGGAAGATGGGATTTATGGGGTGGAGATGAATAGAATTTACCCTGAGTGGTTTCTGTGTGTCTCACTCTTTTATAGGATCTGTACATGCATCACAACTTCTGAGAACACTTAAGAGAAGAATATGCATTGACAAAGATCCAAGGAGGTACACATACATACTTTTTGTTCTTCTCGCTCTATGGCTGCGTTACACTTTTCTATTCCACAGGTCCTCAAAAAGTCTCTGAGATAGCCAAATAGGGTTCCAAGTCCATATCCCAAGTAAGTGAAAACCATCACATGAAGAGGTGCTTCCTCAAAGGATTCAACAAGTGGCTTATCGTAAACATGTGGCCACCCATTTTGCTGAAAACACAAAAGGAAACAGAAGGTTAGTTCTCTTCCATGACAATAAAATATATATTTAAAAAATTTTGGACTTTGAAGCTTTTAAATTTCAAAGAACACGTTTAAGATCATAAAAAGTGCTCAGAGAAAAATGGAAGTTGATCATGAATGAGGGCAATCAGAAAGGTGCATTTTATTTTACAACCCCCTAATAAAATACTGGATTCAGGCAAAAATTCTCAACAGGCGCTAAATCCATTAAGTGAAAGGTTAATGAGGAACACAGTTTTTGTAAGATGTCAAAGTTATCACTCCCATCAGTTACTCCCTAATCACAAATCTGAGGTTACTACCTTGACCGGGTGATCAAATTCCATCCCCAATGTTGGAACAAGAGCACTTGTGCTCTTATCAGAGTGTAAGATTCAATACACTAATGATGCATTTAACCTGAATTTAGTCAAGTTTTCATATCCAGCTTCCATTTCACCAGAAACATCAAAAGGGGAGGTGACAAATGACTTCATGAGGAAACAATCAGATAACCCACAATGTGCACAGCAAAGGAAATTATCAACAAAATGAAAAGGCAACAGATGGAATGGGCAGAAATATTTGCAAACCAAATCTCAAATGAAGAACTCATACAACTAAAAACCCCTCATGTAACCTGACTTTAAAAATGAGCAAAGTCCTAAATATTTTCCCAAAGAAGACCTACAAATGGCCAATAAGTATGTGAAAAAGTACTCAACATCATTAATCTTTAGGGAAATTCAAATGAAAACCACAATGAGATACCACCTAACACCTATTAGGGTATGGGTATTATTGAAAAGGTAAATGATAACAAGTGTGGGTGAGGATGTGGAGAAAAGGCAACACTTGTACACTATTGGTAGGAATACAAGTTCATACAACCATTATGAAAATGTACAACCCATATGAGGTTTCTCAAAAAATTTAAAAAACAGAACCACCACATGATTCAGTTATCCCAGTTCTGGGTATATATCTATAGGAAATGAAATCAGTGTCTTGAAGAGATAGCTGTTCCTCCAAGTTCATTGCATCATTATTTATGATAAGCAAGATACAGAAATAATCTAAGTATCTGTAGATGGATGAATGGATAAAGAATATAAAATACTGTAGAATATTATTTAGCCATAAAAAAAGAAGGAAATCATGCCATTTCCAACAATATAAATGAATCTGGGCTACATGATGCTAAATGAAATAAGCCAGGCACAGAAAGACGGATATTGCATGAACTTATTTATATGTGGAATCTAAGAAATCTGACCTCACAGAAGCAGAGAGTAGAATGGTGGTGATGAGGGGCAGGAAATAGGGGAAATGAGGAGATACTGGCCAAAGTATGTAAGTCTTCAGTTATAAGATGAATAATTTTTGGGATCTAATGTACAGCATGGTTACTACGGTTAATAATATTGTATAGTATACTTGAAATTTGGTAAGACAATATATCTAAAGTGTTCTCACCACACACGCAAAAAAATGGTAATGAGGTGAGATGATGGATGTATTAATTAGCTTGGCTGTGGTAATAATTTCACAATGTTTACATATATTGTACACCTTGAATATAAACATTTTTATTTGTTAATTATACCTCACTAAAACTGGACAGCAGAAGAAAAAAAGAGGGGTGGCAGAAGAAACTTAAAAGACACAACCCAATGCAGTGTGTATTCCTTCATTGGATCCTGTTTTGTTGTTGTAAAAACCTGGTTAAAAAAAATCCATATTTTGGGGCACCTGGGTGGCTCAGTGGGTTAAAGCCTCTGCCTTCGGCTCAGGTCGTGATCTCAGAGTCCTGGGATGAGCCCCACATCGGGCTCTCTGCTCAGCGGGGAGCCTGCTTCCTCCTCTCTCTCTGCCTGCCTCTCTGCCTACTTGTGATCTCTGTCAAATAAATAAATAAAATCTTAAAAAAAATCCATATTTTGAACAATTGCATAGGTCCAAATGTGGACCTAGGTTATTATAGGACCTATATTATTCCAAATCTTATTAAGGAATTATTGTTAATTTTGTTAGGAGCGGTAGTAGTATTACAGTTATGTGAGGAAATACTTCAGGGCATGCTGAAGTATTAGGGGAATTAAATGTTATGACACCTATAATTTTTTTAAATGGTCCATCAAAAATTGAACATATATATGGAACAATTTTGGGAAAATGTTAATAACTGTTGAGTCTAGGGGGTGCCTGGGTGGCTCAAGTCGGTTAAGCATCCAATTCTCAATTTTGGCTCAGGTCATGGTCTCAGGATTGTGAGACTGAGCCCATGTCAAGCTCTGTGCTGAGTGTGGAGCCTGCTTAAGTTTCTCTCTCCCTTTCCTGCTGGCCCCCCCAACCCCAAATCTTTCTATTGCGCTCTTTAAAAAAAGTTACTGTTGGGTGTAAGTGGAGGTCATGTGAATGTTGGTTAAATTATTTTTCCACTTTTGAGTGTGTTTGAAATTTTTTATAACAGAAAGTTAGAGGAAGTATTTCTTTGTATTAGGTGTCAAAATTCCAGTGGAAGTAACTTTGAGTACCAAGCCATTCTGATTCCTGCTTAACTGAATTGCATGTTATAACACAATCAATTTTGGCTCAGTGGATTAGTGAGTAAATTATTCCTAAGGCTAAGATTTAATTAAGTTTTATTCTTTAATAAGTATTCATACATTCATTCATTATTTCACTCAACAAATATAATGCAATGCCCAGATTCTGCTTTTCTCAATGAGAAAGTATATGGACCACGTGGAATATATAACTTTTAGTGACTTACAGGAAATTGTCAAATGTCTACTCGTATTTAATGCATTAATTTAATTTACACATATGTATTTAGAATAATGCATTATATAAAATCTTAATAAATAGAAGCAATGTTTTTTCTACTGTCATAATCTTTGTTGCCACAACAAACACTGTTTGATTCCATCATCACAGCTTTCCAAAATATGTCACCTTCCTTTCTCCTATGTTGTTTAAGCGGCAATATTTTAGAAATCTCCATGTGACTTAGTCACTGCAAGTTTTATCCCAAGCCCCAAAATATATGACAATCTAAGAAATCTGTCTGTAGATGAGTATTTTTTTATTTCTACATCACTTGTTTTAAAGTAATTTTTTAAAAAGCCCTTTTATGATGACATTGAACATTTGAGTTGTTAAGTCAAAACCCTCGTGAGATACCACTAAATCTTATTAAAATTCCTTGCCTTCTTATTTATGCATTCTGTCAGATCCTCCAAACTAGATCCTCCAAACTAACATGGATGGATGGATGTTGCTCTTGTCTCATATGACTTCCCCAAACATTACCTGGTGTCTCAAGTAATGACAGTGAGAGAGCATTGCTTAATATGAGGTCTTGAATGAGAGGTTATAACCATTGCCTTGTACTTGGGATTATAGGGAATGCAATGTGTGCCTACTGTGAGCTATGGGCAAGGTTCTGGAGATTCAAAGATGAACAAAACAGACCGGGTCCCTGGTTCCTGACTTCTTGACCTCCTTCTCACTATGTCCTCCCACCTATCCTGTAGGTCTGATGGAGAGCTGATCTCAGTATTCTGATGCCAGCTCTGATCCTTAGCTCTGTTCTGTGCTTAACCTTTGGATTACATCTGTGTTCTGCATTCCAAGTGACCTCCTAACCCAGTTAGGAACCATCTCCTGGCTCCTTTCACATCATGGGGACACATCATTGGTTTCCTTCTTTCCTCAATTTGTCAGATTCCAGGAAGGGACTTCGAGAGCCTCGTGAAGGAGGATTTGATGAACTTTTGTGACTGCTTAGGTACAAGATCAAGGAAGCGGGAAATGGAAAGTATCTGCAAGGAGAATTTTGTTATTGTTGATAAGAAGACAGGGAATTAGAAAGGGGGCTGCTTATGGGGGGGAAGACTGAATTGGAGGTGGTTATGGCTCACAGAAGTGGGACCATTTGTCAGGTAGTGAGAGATGCAGGAAAAGTGAGAGCCCCTGGCTGAAACGGAGTCAACTGCTACAAGGCACAGTCTAAGCCACAGTTAAAGGTGAATGTGATAAAGGACAAATTATAAAGAGAGAAGGACAGTGGGTTTGAGATAGAATTTGGGAACCCATTGATTTTAAGGGCATCATAGAGGAGGAGTGAGTGAAAGGGGCTCAATACAGGTGACATCACACACAAATTAACTGCTTTAGTTGACTTAGAAGCTGGCTAAGTTATGAAGCCACATGTAAAGAGATACACTTCCAGGCCATCCTGCGACGATCAGCTGAAGATTTTCCCTTTTTTCCTTTTCTGGCTTGTATCCATTTCTGAGCTCTGTATGTGGCCAAATCAAGCACCACATTTCCCCTGGAATCCATGGGAACTTTCTGCTTGAACTGGCTCTGCGGCAAACCTGTAGTGCACAGAACAGATACCTAGATGCAAGTAATACTGTCAGTGGGGTGCACAGCCTGGGCTTCGGTGACTTTTTTTTTTTTTTTTTGCCCCTTTGGCTTTTTCTGGAAGAAAGTTATAACATAAAGAAGAAATTGTCAACAAGGTCCGTCAGTTCAGACCAACATCTACTTTCTCTCATAAAACTTCATTTATTTATTTTAATTTAATTTAATGTAATTTTATTTGGCAGAGAGAAAATGAGATACCTTGATGGAGAACAAAGTTATTGGGAAATATATAGGTCTTTCTTAACAGATGGAAAGTGACTCATTAACAACATCCCTTTATTTACTTATTTATTATATATTTTTAAAGATTTTATTTATTTATTTGACAGACAGAGATCACAAGTAAGCAGAGAGGCAGGCGGCGGGGGGGGGGCGATGCAGGGCTCGATTGCAGGACCCTGAGATCATGACCTGAGCCTAAGGCAGAGGCTTAACCCACTGAGCCACCCAGGCATCCCTACATCCCTTTATTTAAAATTGAAGTCCATCATAACCTCTTGGGAAAGGTTTCTCAATCTGGGGTTGGATAGTTATTCTTAAATATGAGATTT